ACCCAACAAGGAAGTAAGCAAATGATGTTATAATATAACAAAGTATTATATTGATTTTCTGGTGTTATTAGTAAGAAAATTAAAATTAGTTTTTAAAGTAAAGTAGTTTTTATATTGAATTTCAAATATGTTTGTTAAAGAGTTTGAAAATAAAAAGAGAGAATTCTCGTATTGACCGAGATAATATTATTAAAATTGGAAATTTGTGTGTGACTGAAGCATAATTTCATAAACAATGGCTTCGATCGGTAACATCGTGTAACTGCGGAATGGCGAAAAATAAAATTAATTTGCGGAATGATTTATTTTCTGTGGAATAAAAACTTGTGGGATAAAATTATTGTGCGATTGGATAAGTTTTGCGGAATGACGGAAATAAATATTTACAAAGGAATTTTCACTCTATACTATACTTAAATATTATTTGATATATCATAAAAATGGAATATTTTTCAATACAAGCAAATATTTTTTACTTCAAAGATAAATAATCAATTTATATATTCAACATCAAATATAAATTTGTAAGAAATATAAAATACTAGTATTTTTTTAATTCGAAGCAAGGGTAATTATTAGTTATAATAAAAGTTGCTAGTTGAGTTGCTTTATTTTACGAGATTTTGATTGATCTTTTAGAAATGGGAAATAGAATGATTAATCACTAAGATCACTAATTTTAATTGTTTTCACGAAAAAAACGTAGAGAACCTCATTTATTCACTTAATGAAAATTTATTTGTAATCTTTACAGCCAAAATGCAGATTCTGTGTTTTCGAATTTTTTTCCAATATTCCGAAACTTTTTTTGATTGACAAAATATTATGTGGAATTGCGTCTTTCCGCTATTCCGCTATTCCGCAAGGTTACCAATCGAAACAATATCTACACATGAACTTCTTTTACAAGGCCGGTGGAGAACGAAATAGGAGCGGAAATTTTGGCCTAGTTTTGGCATGTGTCCTTAGAATGTTTGGCTGATAAAAAATTTGGTGTGTTAACGTCCGGTCTAGAATTGTGTATTGAGACGAGTCCACGCGTGATCATAAATATCCCACGGTGACGGTCCAAATTTGTTTTTGAATCTTCTTCCGTAAAGTGCAAAATAAAACGACAAAAAATAGAAATATGCCACGAATCTTCTCTTTTCATTCTCCGCCGAACCTACAAATTGTTGTTTTACATGTTTCGTTTGACAAGTTTGCTTTTGATACATCAACATTACTACATGTGTCGGTGTATATTTATACAAGAAAGACGTAAGAAATCTTTCAAAGAAAATTAAAGAGAACATGAGCACCACTAGATTACTCTTTCGTCGTAACTCAAGACCATCGGATCTTTGTCTTCCTTCTTCTTCGCCGAATCGTTATCTTTTGCGTACAAGAATCATTAAATGCTCGTTGAGGCAAGGATCGGACGATCAGAATCAGAAATCGTCTTTTGAAGATAAAAAGAGAAAATCAACGGTGGAGATCATGAAAGCTAATTGTATGCCTAGCTCAGAGATTGTTGTGATCACTAAGGAGGCACAAGTACGACGAAGATTGATTGATTTGGTGTTTCTTGTCACAAAAGTAACCGATTTTGTTCTTACGGAGTTAAGGCAAGCTATCAAAAGACGGCCATGGAAACTGCTAATTGAGAGATATATGGAAAGGGTATATTTTCGTTTTTTCTCTCTATTTTATTTTTATGAAATGCATGGCGAAATAAGTTTTTTGGATCC